GTCCTTCATTACCTTAAACGAAATTGTGTGAGTACATATCATACTACTGATTTACTGGTAGTCTCGAAACGATACGTAAATGCAAAATATATTCCTAAAACCTAACTTCTCTTCTCATGGACTGCTTTTTCCACCTGCGCTACTCTTCATCAGCACTCCCAATCCGAGTAGTGCAACGTATAACCTCGACAGAAATGGAACTCTAACCTTTATTACATATTTACTGATAATATTTTGGTATTGGAGAAGCCTGTGGGCCAGTAGTACTTGTGTCGGTAGAGTAAAGGTAGCGTTTCGATCTTATAGGCTGCACTACCCATGCTCAAGTCCCGCCAGGGGTGTTGATGGAACCCAGGCGAGGTCGAAAGCAATATCTAATCCAGCTGGGATAAGAATACCATTTGAGAAGCAAGGCTGAGTGAAATTCAATGGAAACTTGAGGCTTATTCATATGATTTAAAAAAAATTTAATTTTCACTTCTTCATCATATGAGTCATAGGGAGCATAGGAAATTTTTCTTTGAAGAAGACTAATTATCATAATCTTCATCATCCCAAACAGATTTAGCCTCATCTCCATTATAGTCAATAATACAGAATCGCTCTTCCTAAACTACCTCCAGACAGAAACATTCACGAAGATAATAGAGTGACTCACTTGGCTTAATCCTTCGATGAGGGGCACCATTCGAGAGCGATGATCACGTCTCACAACTTCAATATACTCCAGCCGATATAGTACTGCATCTGCGCGTGCCACAATACCGATTAGGTTTTGCTCAATCTCCACGATTCGGTCGATCATATCCTCCATGTCGTCTGTATTTAAATACTGCATCCGGATTTCGGAGAGACAGACAGGCAAGTATTTGTGCATGTGAACATAATTATAAAGCAAAGTGTTGGATACGTTACTATAGTACTCCTTATCGGATTGTAACTCGAATACTATTTCCATAATGAGGTTCGAAGATTTGTGCATATAATTTAAAAGGTAGTTTGCTCACTAGTTAGAATAAGTGCAACTGGATTGTATACTTTAGGATGCATAAAATGGGAAATCGAAGATATGAACACCAGGATGATGTGTCCTTTTGTATGGTCGCGGCCTCCTTTCGTTCCATAGAAGTTGTTTGACATTGTTTTCGCAACTTTTCATATTGGCAATAAGACCTAGAGGAGCGTACCTTTTCTTAAGTCCATAGTATGCATGATTATTTCCAGACTCGGACCATAAACGTGGTACATTCCGAGACGTTTCGCCGGCATCGACTTTACTTATCTCTTTGACGAGTTGTAGTGCGGTAATAAGAAAGGCAAGGTTCACTGACGATACCGGTGAAACGTCTGGGAATGTACCACATTCACGGTCAGAATCTGGAGATAATCATGCATGGTATGGACTCCCGACAAGGTGCGTTTCTCTAGGTCTTCCTGCCAATATGACCAAGTTGCTAAAACAAGGTCAAATAACTTATATATAATAGGTAGTTGAGATTTAAATAGGTTTAGAGATTGCCAGTAGATCTTGAATAAGAACTGTTTTTACCATATTTCGTTCAAGGTAATGAAGGACAGGTGGGATGAGCACAGTTCTCATAAAATGAGTTTTGTAGTCTCTCAATCTCTCTGTAAATCTTTAACTTACAATTTCAAAGCCGGATTTCAGGTATTATAGTGTGTTTAGGTATGCGTTATTCATGGTTTTTGTGCCTTTTATTGTTTTAATACAGAGTCTAATGCAGAGATTCGTGAATTGATCTCATCAAAAAAGGACAGATGATATCTGTTGCTCTGCCCTTGCTTGACTTCATTAGGATATCCAGGTTAGTGCAGTGCCCAAGATATCTGAGCAGCAGAAATTCATCGCCGTCTTCCGACCAAATTGGCCACAGAATCTTATCATCAGGAGCTTTAATACGAATTTAAAAACACCACATTATTGTTATATTAGGAGAAACAGCGAAACCAAGTTATTCTTGAAATGAATTGACCTCGTTGTCGTAACTTGGTCTTGTTATCGGGGCGATTTAGGAGAACGCACCTTGTCCGAAGTCGCCTGCCATAGTAGTTGTCATGATTTCCAGCATCAGACAGTTGACTTGGTACATTCTCAAACGTTTCTATTATGTCACCCTGACAACAAGACCAAGCTGCGACAACGATGTCAATCCACTTCTATAAATCGAAAGGAGACTGTGACCATACCAGAGGCCACAACACCTTGGTCTTCATATCTTCAGTAAAGAGGTAAGTTTG